CCCCCCCCCCCCCCCCCCCCGGGCTTCTTCTTTTTTATGGCTTGAGAGATTAATAATAATATTGAAACTGAATGGTTCTGATATGGTGTTATTGAGTGGTTAATAGATGGAGTGTTGTAGCTTGCAAAAACCACATGCAATGAAAGCATACTTAACCAATGAGTAGAACTCAGAATTTGCCTGAGTTTATAAATCATGCCACCATTTCCTTGTTTCATAATAATGCTATTTAATTTGCCTAGGACTTCTCTTCTTCTCTGTGCTACTGCTATGCTATAATAAAATTTTAACGTTCCGCTAAAGACAAAAACACGTTCACATAACATCGAACGTGTTAATTATCTTGGGGACCATGATTGTACTACAAAACACTATCCTTTTTTACTTTCTAAGATTTGTCTCTCTCTCAAATAATTAGAACTTAGTTTTCACAAAAGACAATGTGTGACAGGAATTTGGCCAGAGTCCCCAAGTTTTAGTGATGCCAACATGCCCCCGGTGCCAGCTGGATGGAAGGGACATTGCCAATCAGGAGAAGCATTCAACTCTTCGACATGTAACAGGTCAAAAACATTATGGTCCTACTTCATTTACAATATTCTATTTCTGTTGATCATTTAATCGGCCCATATAACAGCTAAAGTTGTCCTCCTATAGGAAAGTGATTGGTGCAAGATATTATCTCAATGGCTATGAAGCTGAGGAACAACTGGGAAATACTGTGTCATTCAAATCTCCAAGGGACAGCTCTGGTCACGGCAGTCACACTGCTTCAACTGCTGCGGGTCGTTATGTGAATAATATGAATTATGAGGGGTTGGCATCTGGCGGAGCTAGAGGAGGCGCACCTATGGCTAGGATAGCAGTGTATAAGACTTGCTGGAGCTCTGGTTGCTATGATGTTGACTTGTTGGCCGCATTTGATGATGCTATTAGAGATGGGGTGCATATTGTGTCTCTGTCTTTGGGTCCTGATGCTCCACAGGGAGATTATTTCAGTGATGCCATTTCTGTGGGATCATTTCATGCTGTTAGCCATGGAATTGTGGTTGTTGCTTCAGTTGGAAATGAAGGAAGTCCAGGGTCTGCAACAAATCTTGCTCCTTGGATGATCACTGTTGCAGCTAGTTCAACTGACAGGGAGTTCATGTCCGATATCATACTTGGAAACAGAGCTCACTTTTCGGTAATCAGTTTATGGCTGCATAAGTAATAATTATAAAATAAAAGGCTGATCCTTAACTCTGGCTCCTATTGTTGAATAGGGTGAAAGTCTGAGTCTACTTAAAATGAATGCCTCGACAAAGATCATCTCCGCTTCTAAAGCTTATGGAGGGTACTTCACTCCTTATCAATCCAGGTGAAGCAGAAGGTAGTTTAACCTGTGTACAATCTGAATTTATGTATTCTACGTTGAAATCTTATGTCACTTTTATATCTCATGTTCGTCCCTTTAGTTACTGCTTGGATAGTTCTTTAAATAGCACAAAGGTGAGAGGCAATGTTCTAGTATGCCGACATGCTGGGAGCTCAGCAGAGTCAAAGCTGGCAAAAAGTGTCGTAGTAAAAGAAGCTGGAGGAGTTGGGATGGTTCTTATAGATGAAACAGATAGAGATGTCGCCATCCCTTTTGTCATCCCAGCAGCAATTGTTGGGAGAAAAGAAGGACATAGGATCCTAACTTACATAAATAATACAAGGTTTGTCACCTCAGTTGTTGCCAAGAACTTTTCCGTGTTCTTTTTTATTCTGTTCTCTCCCTTATTGCTGACTCTTTCAAGCGAACAGTAATCCTATGTCAAGGATATTATCTGCCAAGACGTTATTAGGATCCCAAGCTGCTCCTCGAGTTGCACCATTTTCTTCCAAAGGTCCCAATATCTTAACCCCTGAAATTCTTAAGGTAATTTAATATAAACAATGGGTAATCTTTTCGAAGATTTATCTTCTGGAAACAATTAAGACTCCTAACGTGCATTATATTTGCTGATTGAGCGCTTTTGTAGCCCGATATAACAGCACCTGGATTGAATATCCTGGCAGCCTGGTCTCCTGCAGCTAATAAAATGAATTTCAATATACTCTCTGGAACATCCATGGCTTGTCCCCACGTAACAGGGATTGTAGCCTTGATAAAAGCTGTGCATCCATCTTGGTCTCCAGCAGCAATCAAATCGTCCATAATGACAACTGGTATCTAATAAGTTTAAAATCGACATAACTTCTCTCGTGTATATCTACATTATAGCTAAATGTGAAATTTGATGCAGCTACTGTATTAGACAAGCACCGGAAGCCTATCACAGCAGGCCCAGATGGACGAAGAGCGAATGCTTTTGATTTAGGCTCTGGCTTTCTGAACCCAAGGAGAATTCTTGATCCTGGTCTTACATATGATGCAGAGTCTACAGATTACAAAGCCTTTCTCTGTTCAATTGGTTATGATGAGAAATCAGTGAATTTGATCACAGGAGACAACAGCACCTGTAACCAATCTTTCCCATCAGCATCAGACCTTAATTATCCATCCATCACAGTACCTAATCTGAGGAACACTTTTTCAATCACTCGTACAGTGACAAATGTCGGCAGGCCTAGGAGCGTCTACAAATCAGTCGTGTTTCCTCCGATGGGGATCAACGTCACTGTAATACCCAAACGACTGATCTTTAACAGGTACAGGCAGAAGATCAACTTCACTGTAACTTTCAAGGTGACTGCCCCATCACAAAATTATGTCTTCGGATCCTTGTCGTGGAGGAGTAGAAAGTCTTGGGTAACTACCCCACTGATTGTACGGGTTGCCAGGTCCAGGTCGAGGCCAGGTTTTATGTTATAAGCAGCAGTATACAATGTGCGCAACCTTGGAGTTCTAGAGTTGAGATAAAGATAGAACACAAAAATGAATATGCAGATTCCAAGTCGCAGTGGAGATTGATATCCATGTCTAGCCATTAGAATCATTTTTGTCAGATAAGCCTACAGTGAAGCATGAACACATTTTTCAGCCATTCCTTTACTTCATTATTTATTATTTCATTGTCCAATGTTTGAGAAGAACTCAACATTCCATAGATCCTATTGCCACCTCACAGACTATATAGTTGCTATTTCAAATTCAATATCAAGGGATTCCATAGATAATCTGAATTAAAGATGAATTCAGCATTGATTGCAAAATGGTTTGGCAAATTCTATTATTTAATAAGACATCGTACAGTACTAAACGATAATAAGGTACTGCCAGTCCTGTCAGAGTATTGCGTAGCACACATGCCGACATAGAAGGAATGATAAATCATTGCAATCTTTGGCCTTGAGGCTGAATATCTGAAGGATCAATTAGGCCTTCCAAGACAACAAGCTCATCCAACAAAGATAGCTTCTCCTTCTCAAGGGCCATAATCTCGTCTTCGACCTCTTTCAACTCTGATCCTAATCCAAAGCTTTCCTCTTCTAGTATTAAATATTTTCGCCTCAAAGCCCGGTAATCATTTCCAGATGTAAAAGAGTCTGGCAAAGAATCTGAGGTTGACCTCTCTTGTTGTTGGAACAATGGGGAAACACCATTCATCAGTACTTTTTTGGAGGCCTTCTGCCCTTTGTGGCTAGAGCGGGCTCGTGCATCCTGAAGTCCTTTCTTACTATCCCCTGATGCATTTAGCATTGCAGTCTCTTGCTTTGAAAGTTTCTTTTTTCTTAGCTTACTAACCATGGCATCATTTGTTGCCAGCATTTTCTGATCTTCCATTTCTCAATCAATTCGTGGATTATGGTACTTTACTGACAGAAGAACAAAAACATAAACAATTATAATACCAACAAGATTTAACAAAAGTAAGAAGATGATCCTGCTTGACATGGTAACAGATTTTCTAAACAAACGACTAAACTGATACAGACTAAATATAACTCACGGAAAGTTCGATATTGATTAATTATAATATTTATGCAACATTGATGTCTGACAATCATAAGTTAACGACTTGGGCATAGAGGCCGAGTCGGACACACATTGTCCCATCTCTAAAAGGAGATCGAAAACTAGACATGGTATCCAGTAACATATCCACCTACTCTGTCATTCTATCAACCAAAGATGCATGGCAATTACTAGAAAGATACATCATACATGCAAATCCAACCAATATCAAGTGAGAAAGAAAAATAATCCTTCAAAAAACGATAGAAGTTCATCCGGTATCCTTCCAACTTATTAAAATGAAACCGTGATCTCGACTCCTGATTATTGCAGCTCAATCTCACTTGATTGGGTACAGCACTGTAAAGAATCGTTCAGTTTCAGCTGTTCGATTCAAGCATCCAATGCAATTGCAAAATAAGTCAACTAAAAAATTCATCAACATAATTTTTTTTTTCTTTAAACATCAATTATCGTGTTATATCCTAGCCGCGCTCTTTTCTCTAATATATTTCAAAATTAACAAAGGAGATTATCATAGCCATGTAACTTGATCCAAACCCTTAGGGGAAATTGAAAATTACCCAATACAAAAATATAATAATTGCACAAAGAGACTCACCCGAAACGTAAAAACAAATTATGCAAATAAAATAAATAAATAAATAAATAAATAAATATATAT